TCTTCTTCTCCCTCTCCCTCTCCCTCTCCCTCTTCCTCTTCCTCTTCATCTTCATCTTCATCTTCATCTTCATCTTCATCTTCAAATTTCATCTTCAAATTTCATCTTCATTTCTTCATCTTCATCTCCATCTTCATCTTCATTTCTTCATCTTCATCTCCATCTCCACCTTCATTCCTTCATCTCCATCTCCATCTCCATCTCCATCTTCATCTCAATATCTCCTCGTTGAGTTTGGTTGTGTAACGATTTGCAACCTTCAGGTCATCAAGGAGCTGAGCGCCAAGGTTGTTGGGCCTGTTAGGAAGCATCTTGCGCAAGTCTCGCCAGAAATCTTCTCTATTCTTTTCCGTCTCTACAAAACTTCCCACCCCATAGGTTGCAGACTTTGATGTCCGACGCCGTGATAATGATCTTGAAAATCTTCAAGAATCTGTTGTCTTAATGTTTTTTCCAATGTTTCAAAACACGATTTTCTTATTTCAGTGTTTCAAAGGCTGCTTTCATGTTTCCATGTTTCTTATTGTCCGATTTCTATTTCCTGTTTGCGTGCACGCATACTGATTCTTTGTTCAGCGGATCACAACGCCGAAGCTGCTTTCGTCGAGTTGTACATAACTAAGATCTCTCGCCGGCTGCTCTGCTACGGTGATTAGACTTCAGCGACGATGAGCAGCAGGAGCAGCAGGAGCAGGAGGTGGAGTAGGTGGAGGAGGCTGCAGGAAGAGTAGGAGAAGGAGAACGGGAGTGAAGAGGGACGGAAAGGAGGTAGAAGGTGATATTTAGCACTTTATCAGGGTTCCCAAGATTGGACCTCTCAGAAGAGATAACGAGCTATCTAGAGTTCTCGCTTCAGGTGGGTTCAACCTTATTGTAATTGCCTCCCAGTGCCTCCCTCCTCCCTCCTCCTTCTCTTCTTCCCTCCTCCTCTCTCCTCTTCCTTCCTTCTTCTCTTCCTCCTCCTCCTCCTCCTCTTCCTCCTTCTCCCTTCCTCCCACTTCCTTCTTCCCTTCCTCCTTCTCCCTTCCTCCCACTTCCTTCTTCACTTCCTCCTCCTCCCGCTTCCTTCTTCTCTTCCTCCCTCCTCCTTTCTTCCTGCCTTTTTGATCCTCTTGATCTTCTCAGTCGCTCCAAGCTCGCACCTTCTTGACCTTCAACGAAGACAACGAGGCACATCAGCACGTATCTAAGACCTCCGTCAAGACAGCCATCTTGGTCAGTACCTTAAACATCTCACACACAAGTTAACTTGGATAGTGATCCTTGGTCCCCTGCTTTCTTCTCATCCCCAATTGCTGCCCTTCCCCCCCACTCCCCCATGCCTCGCCCTCCCACCTCCTCTTTCCTACTTGCAGTCCTCCTCTTCCTCGTTCTCCTGCTTCTACTTCTACTTCTCTCCTTGCCCCTTCTCCTCCTCCTCCTCCTCCTCCTCCTCCTCTTCCTCGTACAAATACCTTTGCTTCACGTTCTTTCGCCCTCCCGTCCTCTCTCCTCTTCTCATCTCCTCCTCTTCATCATCACCAGCGTCTCTCGTTTCTCACATGATCGGCTTGTATCAGATTAACGAGCTTCATCATGCCCTCCCTCTCTCTTTCTCCAAATTTCTCCCCGCCTTCCTATCACAAGCGCTTCAGGTATTCTCCTCTCCTCTCCTCTCCTCTCCTCTCCTCTCTCTGATTGTGGTCTTAGACGCTGGAGCATTACGCGCAAGCAGTTGTCACAAACCCATCTCACAGCTTTCAAGTGCATCAGGTGGAGATCATAACAAAAGAAACACAAGACAGACACACAACAAACACACACAACAACAATATCCAAATCGCAGAATCAGCATCCTCGATTCAAACTACAACAGAATCAGATTATCCTTCTTTGAACCTCCTCCTTTGCATCTCGTTTCCATACTTTGCCTGATTCATTCCTCACTGTCTCTACAAACGACATACTTCTCCATCTTCTGCTCCCACATACTTCTCCAACTTCTGCTGACTTCTCTTGGAAACCAGGAAGAGATCGTCATCAGATCAATCCTCTTCATCATCAACGTTCTTTCTTGCCCTCAGTACCGCCCAGGTCGACTCAGCCTCCTCCCCACTGCAGCCTGACCTTTTGCCTTCTGCAGGCGGGAAGAACAAGAATTCAGGTCAGGAGACATCGTCGTCCTCCAAGCCACTTCCAACATGTACAGAGGTGAACAATATGTAGCTGGACTTGTGTTGGTTGAGAGGCGGGCAAGAGGTTCTCTGCGCAGAGTATTGCAGTGTTGTGCTGTTGAGCAGGGTTTGAGCTGTAGAAAGTGTGATTTCAGAACTGCTGTGTTGCGAGGTTTGTTGCGAGATGTAAATAGATAGAAGAAGAAGATGACGATGATGATGATGATGATGATGATGAGGCGGAGGAAGACGAGGACGAGGACGAGGACGAGGAGATGGAGATGGAGATGAAGAGGATGAGGGAGATGGCGATGGGCGATGGCGATGGAAATGGTGGTCAGTGACTGAATTTGAAGGTTTCGGAGCTTCTGAACAACATCATGTCTGGAGATGCGATCAAGCATCTGACTGACATCACCATCTCCGCTCTCCTCCCTCTCCAACCCGTCGACCTTCATGAGTGGGCCGGTGGGAACATGATACTTGCGGGTTCTCATCAACATCTTCATCTTGATCTGACCTTCTAGTCATGGTGTTTTCCTTCTCCGCCTTGTAGTATCACTGATGCCTCCATGATGTTGTCTTCTCTTTCTGATCACTTCTGTGATGTACATCCCACTTTCATCAACATTATCGTTTGCATCTCCATCCCTTGTAACCCAGCGCCGTTGCCTCTGACATTTCCATCATAATGCGCATCCAACAACTTACATGCACTGCAAGTTTCACATGTTGTTGTTCATCTCTTCTCTCAAGAGTTTTCGCTCACACCTGCTGCCTAGACGACGCAGAGACGTTTGTGCACCAAGAGTTCAACGAGGAGGGGCTGCGAATCAGACCAACAGCTGAAAACCTCTTGACGACCATGATGCAATACAACAAGCAGGTCGAGGACGGATATGACATGTCTTGCCTTGTCATGCCATGTTATGTGTTGTTTTATATCCTGTCTTGTCTTGTTTTATCTCTCCTCTCCTCTCCTCTCCTCTCCTCTCCTCTCCTCTCCTCTCCTCTCCTCTCCTCGTCTCGTCATCGTCTAAACATCAGATCAGGCTTGCTCATCGTCCATTCTCGCATTCTTGGAGCAGACGTCTCATCAGGTCTGA